CGCTTGTACACACACGTGTGTGCACAGACATTCATTCTATTTAGGTGATCGGTGTCGCAGTGGTTAGCGCAACTGCGCTCAGAAGCCGTCCACCTGGGTTCAATTCCCGGCCACGGCTACCATCAGTCGCAAGCGTAAACTAGAACCCGTATTTGGGCATGCCCTAGGTCGACTCAGCCATAAATGAGTACCTGGTGCAGTCTGTGGCCATACCACCTCCTGATATGTATGTTGAACTTCTTTCGCACCGTACGAAGCCAACCGCGCTAATCGGAGGTGCTGAAATGTGATCTGCTCACTAACAACGCCTTACACGATAGGCCTTCTTTCTCAGTGGGCATATCTGTGACATAGATCTCTCTATATAGATGTGCGCTCGCGTTTGAGACTCATTGAATTGTGTACAATACAGCGAGTCACTCGTTAAAAGCTTACTGGGGTCCCAGTATGGTTCGGCTCACGGTGTCATCATGGAAAGTACTTTATCTCCAACTCCCTCGCCTGGTATACAGGAGGTCATGGGCTCGATCCAGACACTGACGCCTACTTGCATATTTGGGGTTGTGCGGTGTTTCTCTCCTCGCTGTCGCGTGGATTCTTCTCCGGGTCCTCCGGTTTCCCCCCGTGCACATTCAGAATCAACATCACGCGTTTGGGGTGTTTGGCTGCTCTAATTTCCACGCGATAAGCCACTTCGTTGAGCGATCATTTGTGGTCGGGTCGCTTCTGAAAAAGAGCTACGTATCTCAGTGGGCCTTGCCTGGTAGTATAAAACAAAATGTTTAGTTTAGTTTACGTATGTAAAACGTACTCGTCAGCACATTATCCGATGACGTTGCTGCGTTGGCAGTGGCGCACAGGCACAAACAACAACAACAACAACAAACTCCACACATTCGTCAACAACAGTCTGGCCTTTAAAAGAAAAAAATATGTACAAATCAGATAGCGGTATTAATCGTAAAGTGAAGACGTATTTGCGAAATTACGTAAAAGGAGGAGACGTAAATTGGGGTCTTACTGCACATGTATATAATAAGAAACGTTTCGGGACATGGCCCTTCATATAATGAAAATAAATGTTGTATGCACGAATACACGTTTGTGTGCTATTAAGAAGAGCCAATGTTCGAAACCTCGCTAGTGATATATTTGAGCTCTCCCTCGATGATAAAGCCGTGTGTGTCTGTGTGGCTGATGGTGGTGCCGTCTGTGTGGCTGATGATGATGGTGGTGGTGTCTGTGTGGCTGATGATGGTGGTGTCTGTGTGGCTGATGATGATGGTGGTGCCGTCTGTGTGGCTGATGATGATGGTGGTGGTGGTGTCTGTGAGGCTGATGATGGTGGTGTCTGTGTGGGGGCTACTTTCTGATGTTCTTTCTGATGATGATGGTGGTGGTGGTGCTCGTGATGATGGCAATGACGCCTGCATTGCTTCGGATGCTGCTGCTGATAATGATGTTTGTCTTACTGCTGGCGCTGATGATGGTGAGTCAGTTGCTGCTGCTGCTTCTGCTGATGTATTTGTCGCTTCTGATGATAATGATAACGACGATGTTGTAGTGTTTGTTGCTCTTGATGATGTATGTTGCCGTTTTTGCTGCTGCCGATACTTCTACTGCTGATACCGCTGCAATCGCTACTAAAGTGTGTATTGCTACTGCTGCCGCCGCTGCTGCTGCTGATGATGCTGATGAGAACAGAGGAAGGAGAGAGGGAAGGACTCCGGGTGGTGCAGGATGACTCGAGTCCGTGGTCCGGGCAAGAGTTGGAGACTCATCAACCACGACCCGTGACCCCGGTCACGATCTCCCCACCGGACACGATCTCCCCACCGCGACTGCTGCCACCAACATCACGACTACTTTTGCAATTTCGACTATCGCGATTTTTATTGCTGCTGCTGCTACCGCTACTACCGCAACGGCCTCCGCTACTACTGCAACTCCTGTCCCACGACTGCAATAACAACTGCTCCTGCTGCTGTTGCTGCTGCAACTGCTACTCCTGCGACTACTATCCCCACTGCTGCAACTGCTGCTGCCGCTACTACTACCGCAGTAGATACAACTGCTGTTGAAGCCGTTACATCTGTTACCAATGCGACTGCTGCCGCTACTGCTGCAACACCGACTGGGGGATAACAACTGCCGGAAAGTTTAGGGAATCTCCCCGTCGCCCCTTTCAACCAAGCAAGCAACTCGCCCTGATTCCAATCCCTCCACCCAAACTTCCCTCCCTCTCCCTCTATTCCTCCCTCCTTTTATCCCTCACCCCCCCCCTCTCCCTGATTCCCCATCCCTCCCTCCCTCCCCTCAATCAATCCCTCCATCCCTCAATCAATCCCTCCATCCCCTCAATCAATCCCTCCCTCCCCTCAATCAATCCCTCCCTCCCCTCAATCAATCCCTCCATCCCCTCAATCAATCCCTCCCCTCAATCAATCCCTCCATCCCCTCAATCAATCCCTCCCCTCAATCAATCCCTCCATCCCCTCAATCAATCCCTCCCCTCAATCAATCCCTCCCCTCAATCAATCCCTCCATCCCCTCAATCCCTCCCTCCCCTCAATCAATCCCTCCATCCCCTCAATCAATCCCTCCCTCCCCTCAATCAATCCCTCCATCCCCTCAATCAATCCCTCCCTCCCCTCAATCAATCCCTCCATCCCCTCAATCAATCCCTCCCCTCAATCAATCCCTCCATCCCCTCAATCAATCCCTCCCCTCAATCAATCCCTCCATCCCCTCAATCAATCCCTCCCCTCAATCAATCCCTCCCCTCAATCAATCCCTCCATCCCCTCAATCCCTCCCTCCCCTCAATCAATCCCTCCATCCCCTCAATCAATCCCTCCCTCCCCTCAATCAATCCCTCCCTCCCCTCAATCAATCCCTCCATCCCCTCAATCAATCCCTCCCTCCCCTCAATCAATCCCTCCCTCCCCTCAATCAATCCCTCCATCCCCTCAATCAATCCCTCCCCTCAATCAATCCCTACCCCTCCCCTCAATCAATCCCTCCATCCCCTCAATCAATCCCTACCCCTCCCCTCAATCAATCCCTCCCCTCAATCAATCCCTACCCCTCCCCTCAATCAATCCCTCCATCCCCTCAATCAATCCCTCCCCCTCCCCTCAATCAATCCCTCCCCTCAATCAATCCCTCCATCCCCTCAATCAATCCCTCCCCTCAATCAATCCCTCCATCCCCTCAATCCCTCCCTCCCCTCAATCAATCCCTCCATCCCCTCAATCAATCCCTCCCTCCCCTCAATCAATCCCTCCCTCCCCTCAATCAATCCCTCCATCCCCTCAATCAATCCCTCCATCCCCTCAATCAATCCCTCCCCTCAATCAATCCCTACCCCTCCCCTCAATCAATCCCTCCATCCCCTCAATCAATCCCTACCCCTCCCCTCAATCAATCCCTCCCCTCAATCAATCCCTACCCCTCCCCTCAATCAATCCCTCCCTCCCCTCAATCAATCCCTCCCCCTCCCCTCAATCAATCCCTCCCCTCAATCAATCCCTACCCCTCCCCTCAATCAATCCCTCCATCCCCTCAATCAATCCCTACCCCTCCCCTCAATCAATCAATCCCTCCCCTCAATCAATCCCTCCATCCCCTCAATCAATCCCTCCCTCCCCTCAATCAATCCCTCCCTCCCCTCAATCAATCCCTCCATCCCCTCAATCAATCCCTCCATCCCCTCAATCAATCCCTCCCCTCAATCAATCCCTACCCCTCCCCTCAATCAATCCCTCCATCCCCTCAATCAATCCCTACCCCTCCCCTCAATCAATCCCTCCCCTCAATCAATCCCTACCCCTCCCCTCAATCAATCCCTCCATCCCCTCAATCAATCCCTACCCCTCCCCTCAATCAATCCCTCCCCTCAATCAATCCCTACCCCTCCCCTCAATCAATCCCTCCATCCCCTCAATCAATCCCTACCCCTCCCCTCAATCAATCAATCCCTCCCCTCAATCAATCCCTCCATCCCCTCAATCAATCCCTCCATCCCCTCAATCAATCCCTCCCTCCCCTCAATCAATCCCTCCATCCCCTCAATCATTCCCTCCATCCCCTCAATCAATCCCTCCCTCCCCTCAATCAATCCCTCCATCCCTCAATCAATCCCTCCATCCCCTCAATCAATCCCTCCCTCCCCTCAATCAATCCCTCCATCCCCTCAATCAATCCCTCCATCCCCTCAATCAATCCCTCCCTCCCCTCAATCAATCCCTCCCTCCCCTCAATCAATCCCTCCATCCCCTCAATCATTCCCTCCATCCCCTCAATCAATCCCTCCATCCCCTCAATCAATCCCTCCCCTCAATCAATCCCTACCCCTCCCCTCAATCAATCCCTCCATCCCCTCAATCAATCCCTACCCCTCCCCTCAATCAATCCCTCCCCTCAATCAATCCCTACCCCTCCCCTCAATCAATCCCTCCATCCCCTCAATCAATCCCTACCCCTCCCCTCAATCAATCAATCCCTCCCCTCAATCAATCCCTCCATCCCCTCAATCAATCCCTCCATCCCCTCAATCATTCCCTCCCTCCCTCAATCAATCCCTCCATCCCTCAATCAATCCCTCCATCCCCTCAATCAATCCCTCCATCCCCTCAATCATTCCCTCCATCCCCTCAATCAATCCCTCCCCCCCTCAATCAATCCCTCCATCCCCTCAATCAATCCCTCCATCCCCTCAATCATTCCCTCCATCCCCTCAATCAATCCCTCCCTCCCTCAATCAATCCCTCCATCCCCTCAATCAATCCCTCCATCCCCTCAATCAATCCCTCCATCCCCTCAATCAATCCCTCCCTCCCTCAATCAATCCCTCCATCCCTCAATCAATCCCTCCCTCCCCTCAATCAATCCCTCCATCCCCTCAATCATTCCCTCCATCCCCTCAATCAATCCCTCCCCCCCTCAATCAATCCCTCCATCCCCTCAATCAATCCCTCCCTCCCCTCAATCAATCCCTCTCCTCAATCAATCCATCCATCCCCGCTCTCTGCCTCCCTCCACACCCCCATAAATCCCTCACTGCATCCATCCCTCCCCACATCCCTTCCTCCTTGCCATCCCTTCCAACCCCCTTACCTCCACCCCAGCCTTCCGCAACACCCCCCCCTCCACCACCACCACTCACGCCGCCAGGAAATGGAAACCACTCCACCACCACCACCACCGCCCCTGTCCGTGCCAGCGAGCGGAGGCGCGGAGCGAGAGTCACGCAGCAGCGTCTCTCCCCAGGGACCCCCCGCAGCCTCGGCGGGGGGCGGAGAAGCGACCGCGGGAGGAGCGGGAGGAGGAGGAGGAGGATCGGTAGCCAGGGAGACGGCACCACTGCGCTCCCACGCTCACTCCATAAGTAGGGGGGGCGCCAGACCCGACGCGTTCAGCCCCGCGGAGCTCGGATCACCGCTCGCGGAGCAGCAGCCGCCGGCCGAGAATCATCATCACCATCACCACCACCATCATCACCATCATCACAATCATCGCGGACATCAGCATCATCAGCAGCAGCAGCATCAGCAGCAGCAGCAGCGAGCGATGCCGATGCCGACTGTGGCGTCGAGTTTGTCACCGCTGGTGCCCGCTACCCACGCGACCATGCTCTACCCCGGCGTGCCAGCTCCTTACTCTGAGCACGCCCTTGGGCTGGACAGGTATGTGCGTGTGTCAGTGTGTGTGTCAGTGTGTGTGTGTGTATGTCAGTGTGTGTGTATGTCAGTGTGTGTGTATGTCAGTGTGTGTGTGTGTCAGTGTGCGCATGTCAATTTGTGTGTGTCAGTGTGCGTATGTCAGTGTGTGTGTGTCAGTGTGCGTATGTCAGTGTGTATGTGTCAGTGTGCGTGTATCAGTGTGTGTGTGTCAGTGTGCGTGTGTCAGTGTGTGTGTGTCAGTGTGTGTGTGTGTCAGTGTGTGTCAGTGTGTGTGTGTATGTCAGTGTGTGTGTGTGTCAGTGTGTGTGTATGTCAGTGTGTGTGTGTGTCAGTGTGCGCATGTCAATTTGTGTGTGTCAGTGTGCGTATGTCAGTGTGTGTGCGTCAGTGTGCGTATGTCAGTGTGTGTGTGTCAGTGTGCGTATGTCAGTGTGTGTGCGTCAGTGTGCGTATGTCAGTGTGTGTGTGTCAGTGTGCGTATGTCAGTGTGCGTGTGTCAGTGTGTGTGTGTGTCAGTGTGTGTGTGTGTCAGTGTGTGTGTGTCAGTGTGTGTGTGAGTCAGTGTGTGTGTGTGTGTCAGTGTGTGTGTGTGTCAGTGTGTGCGTGAGTCAGTGTGTGTGTCAGTGTGTGTGTGTCAGTGTCGGTGTCAGTGTGTGTCAGTGTCGGTGTCAGTGTGTGTGTCAGTGTGTGTCAGTGTGTGTGTGTCAGTGTGTGTGTGTCAGTGTGTGTGCGTGTCAGTGTGTGTGTGAGTCAGTGTGTGTGTCAGTGTGTGTGTGTCAGTGTGTGTGTGTGTGTCAGTGTGTGTGTGTCAGTGTGTGTCAGTGTCGGTGTCAGTGTGTGTGTGTCAGTGTCAGAGTGGGGAGTGGTAGTGTTAGGAGCTAGCGCGCTGCGCTACGAACCCGGCGACCCGAGTTCGATTCCCGCTCACGGCCACCAACACCACGTGACGACTATCTGAACTGGTCGTGGGCCTCCCCTGAGTGGAGTACCTGGAGCGGTGTGGAAACATCGGGCGCGGTGCTGGCCACCCACCCCCTCGTGTGCCATATCGGCCTTCATAGGTGCTCGCTAACAGCACTTGTCCCCAACAGTTTGTTTGTGTTATACGGGGGATCTTTGCAATTGTGTATTTGTGTGCGAAAGTAAGTGAGTGTGTGTGTGAGAGTGTGTGTGTGTGAGTGTGTGAGTGCGTGTGTGAGTGTGTGAGTGCGTGCGTGAGTGTGTGTGTGAGTGTGTGTGTGAGTGAGTGTGTGAGTGAGTGTGTGTGTGAGTGTGTGTGAGAGTGTGTGTGTGTGAGTGTGTGTGTGAGTGTGTGTGTGAGTGCGTGCGTGAGTGTGTGTGTGTATGTGTGAGAGTGTGTGTGTGAGTGTGTGTGTGAGTGTTTGTGTGAGTGTGTGAGTGTGTGTGTGTGAGTTTGTGTGAGTGTGTGTTAGTGAGTGTGTGTGTGAGTGTTCGCTGACAGCAACAAGTGCTCTTTAACAGGACTTGTCCCAACAGCCTTGAAAAGGCTTTCCGGGGGATCTTTGTCTTTTTCTGAGTGTGTTTGTGTTCATACACGTGTGCGTGCGAGAGACAGGGATTGCGCGTATCACCGTTTGTTGATGAATGAGTATATCTATATGGAGAGCGGTGGTGTAGCGTTTAGCAGACTGCGCTCCGAACCTGACGATCCGAGTTCGACTCCCCGCTCACGGATAACACCAGAGACGATTATCTTCTCCCCAATCTTGGGCCACCCCGAGGTCGACTCAGCCTCAAATGAGTACCCCCGGGAGACAAAGGCGGCCGGGCGTGGCTGCTTGACCACCCACCCCCTCGTGCGTCGTGCCGGCCTTCATCGATGCAGCTCGCTGACAGCACTTGCCCCAACAGTCTGTTAAGGCTACACGGGGGATCTTTGCATTGTGCGTGTGTGTGCGCGCTAACAGCACCTACCCCAACAGTCTATACGCTAAACGGGTGATTGTGTGCGTTGAAAGCTCTTCAAGTGCTCTCTGTGATTCCACAACGAACACTCGAGTTGCGGAAATTACGACGCGGTTATTAACCCTGCAAGTACAGACCGCGGTCTGGACTGTGAACCTAGCCACATGAGTTCGATTCCCGGCCTCGTGGCTAACCATCAGTGGCGAGTGATATCCGACACGGAGTGGGAAGGCCTTCATCTCGCAGTGGATTGTTATGAACTATCTCATGTACCAGGTAAAGCCCACTGAGCTATTTAGCTTTTTTCCAAAAGCGACCTGGCCACAAATGATAGCTCAACGAAGTGGCTATTCATGTGGATATTTATAGCAGCCAAATACTCTAAACGCATGATTCTAAATGCGGATGGGAAAAAACCGGAGGACCCGGAGAAAAATCCACGCGACCACGAAGAAAACACGCAAACTCCAAATATACAGCAGCAGGCGTCAGGGTCAGGATCGATCTCACGACCTCCTGTATACCAGGCGAGGGAGATAACATCTCGCCACCGTGGCGTTGTATTCTCGATTTTATTATAAACCTAACCCTCCCCCGGACCTCCGATCAGCATGGTTGGCTTGGTGCGATGCGAAAGAAGTTCCACATACATAAGTACATAAACACAAAAAGCAGCTCTTCAGAAATTCGTTTTAAAATTTGATGATTAAAAAGTGGATAGCTCCCGAGGCTACCTAATATCGGAAGGAAGAGCGTTCCAGCCGCCGCTGCTGCTGGATGAGCGGAGTTTTGCGTGATGGTTTAATTCTCCTCGGCGAGATCGGCGAGGTATTGTAGTTAATTTGTGGCAAGCAACTTTGTGTGTGTAATGAGTGCGCGTGTTGATGGCGACACGAGCTCCTGCCTCTATCTCTACGGATCTCCCTCCGCCTCCTCCCCGATATCATCGTTTGCTCCCATCATCATCATCATCGTCGTCATCATCATCGTCATCATCATCATCATCGTCATCATCGTTATCATCATCATCATCGTCATCATCATCGTCATCATCATCATCGTCATCATCATTGTCATCATCATCATCATTGTCATCATCATCATCATCGTCATCATCGGCATCATCATCGTCATCGTCATCATCGTCATCATCATCATCGTCATCATCATTGTCATAATCATCATCATTGTCATCATCATCATCGTCATCATCATCGTCATCATCATCATCGTCATCATCATCTTCATCATCATCATCGTCATCATCATCATCATCGTCATCATCATCGTCATCATCATCATCATCGCGGTGCCCTTTCTACCCGTGCTCTCCCCATCTCATTCCCAGGTCTCTCTCTTTGATTCAGGTGCATTTAGGATCAGCCTTGTTAATGTTCGGTTTGATATTTTCGCAGATAACCCCCACTGGGTAACGAATGCTCATCTTCGATGGGGATCGAATTACATAAAAAGTTACGAGTTGCTTATTATGCATTCGCCGATTAAAACATAATCCCTTGCAACATTGTAATGCCAAATTCCTACATATGGACCTAATGGCGGGACCCCGGGGTCAACATAAGCGGCTCTCGCATAAACTGCGTTGCGACGTTATTTTATGTCTGTTGAAAGCGAACGACACGGCAATCTATTCCTCTCGACGAGCTCTACACGATGCGCTAGTCAAAGTTTAAAAGTTTTCTTTCTTCTGCGCATTCGTCCTCGCCGCTGCGCTTGGACGACACGACAACAGAACGACCCGCGCCAGGCGGGTCGCGGCGTTCATGTGCGCGGTGGGACGGAGTCGCCAAAAATAAATTAGTTCAAATCTAGAATAAATGAGTTAATTACCATTTTGACTTCCGTTTATTCGTGACCCCGGGGTCCCGCCATAAGGTTCATATGTACAACTACGTCTGTACACTATGGTGTGTGTTTGTATGTTAACACAATGCATGTTTTGATATATATATAAAACTACATTCTACAGACATTACAGGATATTCCTGCAACGCAGATCAATACTACCCAGTAAACATGCAACGTTGCATGAACCGTTGCACGAACGTTGCATCCGGCCAGTCAACTTTGGCCCAACGTTTACACGTTTACTGCTTAGAATCGTCCACGTGTATACAAACATAGAATAAATAAATAAATATAAAGCTATGCCATTTGCCAATCCACTGCTGGATGAAGGCCTCCCCATGCCTGGTCTGTCTCTGGGGGCTATTCGACCATACTTCACCACGCTGGTCAGTTCAGGTTGCAAGTAAGTTGGTTAGGCTCAGGACCCGCTCAGGATGATCGCTGTCCACTCGTGTTCGCCGTGACCGCACATCGAGCTCAGATGGCCGGATTCAAAACGCACTGCGCTAACCACTGCGCCGACGCAATATCATTCTCGACAACAACATCATCATCAGCAGTAGCGTGACCGCGTGGGGCAGGCTAGGGGGGTGCCTTGCCTGCCCTGCCCCCCCCTGTTGGCCAAAGCTACGAGTTGGGGGCCCCCTTGACAACCAGCATGAGAAATGTTTAGAACAACAGTGTAAAAAAAACGCCCAACACATTTTCTTTGAAAGCGCGGTTTAAATGTATTTTCATGAAATTGCTTTTAACTTACGTTCCGCGTTTTATTTTATTTTAATTCGAGCAGTTGCGTTTGACTTCCGCAAATTGCGCCTGACCGATTGCCGCACCCCCCCCCCCCCCCCGAGCTGATACATGTCATTAACCACGCCACCGATCATCAGCAGCCGCGGTCCATCCACTGCTGGATGAATGGCTCTCTCATCCCAAGCCTCCGCCATCTCTCGCGTGCCCCAAGATTGTCCGCGCCCATGTGAATGATACTTTGCTGTGATGATATTGCTGCTGCTGCTGAATTGGCACAGTGTCAAGTCAATGTAAAATTTTGTTGCTTTAACTCGTGACCCCTTGCTGGCACAAATCGGCCACCCAGAGCACCAGTGGAGGAGCACACACGATAGCAACGCTCAACAGATTCGTTCATGATATTCCCTTTAAAGATATATATATAAAATAGGCGACGTTTCAGGCAATGGCCCATCTTTATATATTGACGTGCTATGAAGATGGGCGATTGCCCGAAACGTCGCCCATTATATACGTATTCATTCTAAGGCCATACAGTATTATTGAAAACCGTGTTGAGTTTTATTGTTAATTTCATATAAAGCATACAGTTAATATACTAATTGGGAACACACGAATTCTGCTTGTCGCTACGTTCCTGAGCTATACGTCATGCTGCCTAAACACCGAGGTGTCAGAAAACGGCAACTATTGCCAATGAAACCAAGCGTATGTACGTATGTTGAACTTCTTTCGCACCGTACGTAGCCAACCGCGCTAATCACAGGTGCGGGGGGAGGGGGTGGAAGGACACCAACCGAAAAACACCAACAACAAAATGAATCGGGGAACGAGCTGTCGGTGAAGAAGGAGAAGTCGCGTGCCTAGCGCTCGCTTCTCGAGCACTGCCCCATGCATGGTGAAGTATGGTCAAATAACACCCCACCCCCCCCCCCACCACGACGACGTGGGGGGGAGGCGCCTCTCATCCAGCGGGAGGTTGACAGCAGCGACGCACGTGTGTCCGTCGTGCTTCCCCGCTGGAGGGCAGCACACGACTCGCACGGCCACTGCTTGAGACGCCGACTAGACCGGCGTTCTTAAATCATTTTTAGAGGGAGGGGAGGAAGACTTTTGCCAATAAGACATCACCAGCGTGAGGACCGCCACACGTTTGAAACCACATGTGGGTTTGACAGCACGACGATGATGATGATGATGGAAGGTGAAGAACAGGTCTGTCTTTCCGACAGACCTGTTCTTCACCTGAGGACGGCTGCTTGCGTTGTGGCCGAAACGTCGTGAGAATTATTTTATTGGTTTATTTTAATTTTATTATTTCCCTTCTACGTGACTTTACCGAAAGAACCAAGAAGATGAATCCCTGCAGTCACGAAAGCTTTAAATCGAAATTCCTCGTGATTTGACAGGGGGCCGCACTAAAGGCCACCAGGGGCTATCCGTGGTCCGCAGGCCTTGCAATGAAGGCCACTGACTTATAACGGTACTTTGATGGCCGTGACTCATCATCACCCATCATCCAGCCGTGGTCGATCCACTGCTGGATGATGGAGGACCTCCCCATGCCTCACAAGGCACTCGCTAGGCGCCTGCAACGCGGGACGATTTCGTCGCTCCATCTCTCGGCGAGCGTACCCGAGCTCTCGGTTGGCACTCACAGGATCGTGACAATCTGGTGATTTTCTAGACGGGGCTGGGACAGCTGAAAGTGAGCACAATCATGAGCCACTCTGTTTAACACGTAGTAGGCTTTCGCGACCAATATAATCCATAATACAGGGTTTTTGGCGGGTTAGATCGCTTAAATATATAAACGTGTCGAAGCTGGTTGTAATTACTGGCGAAACGTCGTGCTCAGATTGTAAATGTTGTGGCTTGGCTCTCCAAAACTATACAGCCAGTTAATACGACAAATCGTTAACCTTAAATACCCAGTCGTTTGTAAAAGTTGAAGGCGGTATAGTACTATGGTAATAGAGCAAGTGCAGAATCACTGAACCCGAATTGATAGCTTGAAAGCATTTAGCGCGGGGCCCTTGAAAGTGCGTGGCCCGTAGCATATGTAGCTACGTTCACTACGATGATAACCCGGCTCTGTTCCCACCACTGATGTTAACCGCGACCATCTGGAGTCGAACTCGGGTGTGGCCTGGTTCGTAGCGCACTGCGGCAGCCACGTGGCCTCTGCCTCATACAAAGACAAAAGCCCCCCCCCCCCGAATAACCGTGACAGACGTTGTTAGCCTTATTCACCGGCGCTGGGGGAACACGGCTCCCGATTTCAATACCCACTCGCGAACGGCATACATCGGTGACGAGTGTCTGACACCGGTCGCGGTCCTCCTTTAGGTGAGCTCAGCCTTAAATGAGTACCTGTGTAAATTTTGACTTAAAACTTTCGCGACTGCAGGAATTCATATTCTTGGTTCTTTCGGTAAAGTCGCGTAGATATAAAAATGAAAATGATAAAATAAAAATAATACATTATTTTAAAATAATTATTTTTAAATTATTATTTTTATTTGATTATTTCCATTTTATTTCTACGCGACTTTACCGAAAGAACCAATAATATGAGTACCTGTGTGCTCGCGGGTTAACATCAGAACTCCGAGGGTGACGGTGGTAAAAACAAAGACAGCCCAGCCTTGCGTGGCGTTCGCCCAGGGGTCGTCAGTGCGAGACGTTGGGGTCCTCCATTTAAAATAAAATAAAAACCCGTCTGAAAGCAGCTTCTTTAAAGAGCCGCCGCACGCGACTCTGCAGCCGCGGCTTTTGGCGATCCGCGTGTGAGCCGCTAACACCATCCTATCGCGAATCTCTCCAGCCGTGTGTCATAATATTCACTCGCTAACCCCCTACCACCCCTACAGTCTATGCTCGATATCTTTGCCTTTGTGATATCTTTGTCTTCCGCATGCATATACATAAGGACTTAGGTTGAGACTGTCCCGGGGCGCAAGGACCCACAGTGTAACTGGGAGTGGGGGGTGGGTGCCTCAGACACAAAGCGAGAGGGGTGACACAGACATCTGCCTCGGCTCACGAGGGCTTGGCGAATTCGCAACAAGGAGGCCGTCAACAGCGAGCCCCCCCCCCCCCCAGAATGAGCGCGTGACACTTGGCGTGAATACTTCACGCGAACACTTCGCCCCCCTCTTCTCGATCTCCCAAGAGCTCTTGAAGAGGTGGCGGCGGCGGTGCTGGTGGCCGTGATGGGTTGGTGGATGGGGATTGGTTATGGGCGCCACGGTGGCTTGGAGATGTTAACTACCTCGCCTGGTATGCAGGAGCTCGTGGGTTCGATCCCGACCCTGACGCCTGCTGCTGTATATTTGGAGTTTGCGTGTCTCTCTCTCCGTGGTTGCGTGGATTTTTCTCCGTGTTCTTCGATTTTCCCTCCACATTTTAGAATCAGCATCACGCATTTAGGGTATTTGGCTGCTGGTCCACATTGCCACGTGATGAGCCACTTCGTTGCGTCATCATTTGTGGCCAGGTCGCTTCTGACAAAAGAGCTACGTAGCTCAGTGGGCCGTATCTGGTAAAAGTAAAAATATAATAAAAGTTTAGTTTATATAGGGGGGCGGTAGGGTTGGTTATGGGAGGGGTGTTATTGTGGAGGGTAGCTCGCGGTGTGATGGTGGGGGCTGTGGGCAGGTCTGGGAGGGATGGAGGAGGGTGCGTGGTAGTGGTTGCTGGTGGTTGAATGTTAACGCGCGCTCATGTAGAGAGGAGAGAATTACTCATCACAAAATAATCCTTGAAACAAGCCTGACGCTGCTGCTGCTGATGATGATGATACACTGAATGTCGAAACTAGTCCAAGCGAGTTTGCTGCTGGTGTGGCACCAGTGCTGCTGAAGTTGTGAACTCGCAGAAGGCCGCTTGGCTTATGGGATGTGTACAAGAAAAGACATAGAAATGCAACATTTGTATGTATGCATATTAAAAAAAAATTGCACCGTACATAACCAACCGTACTTATAGGAGATGCGGGGAAGGACAATAAACTAAACATTAAAGCAGTTCTAAAGAAATGAATTTTCAATTTAGATTATTTAAAAGTGCACAGATCCAGTGGATTCCTAATATCGGAATGAAGATCGTTCCAGACGGCCGCAGAAGCGCATCGGACTCAGCCTCAAATGAGTAGCTGGTGCGGGGTGTAATCATCGCCGCTGGGGAGACAAAGGCGGCCGGGGGTAGTTCCGGCCACCCCACCTTCTCGTGACCCGTGCCGGCCTTCATATGTACTCGCTAACATCACTCGCCCCAACAGCCTGTTAAGGCTACACGAGGGATCGTTGTTCTACATCTATACGTATTTATTACGCGTGGCCGTGAGAGATGGATGGCTAACGTCGATGATGTGGTGTGTATGTGTGTAGCGGATTCGGTCCTGCCCAGCCAACCTTCACAGTGCTGCAGCCAAACGGACTGAAGAGGAGACCCGCTCCCTATGACCTGGAGTACAACGAGGGTAAGCAACCACGCAGAGACCCCAGGAGAGCACTGCACTGGTGTAAAATAACAATTAGATTTGTACTCATTTAAATGGATTTACTTGTTTATCCAGGATAGCCGCACTGAGTCACAGAACTCATTTTGAGGAAGGTGCTGCCGCTACATTGGGTTTACATTTGTAAGATGTGTCCATCCGAATCAAGTGTCGAAGGCTCGCTGGCAATGTGGTCACGGGACAGACCCAGGTGCCATGGGTTGTCTGCTGTGCCAGGCTAGGTGCAGGAGGAGACCACGGGACAGACCCAGGTGCCATGGGTTGACTGCTGTGCCAGGCTAGGTGCAGGAGGAGACCACGGGACAGACCTAGGTGCCATGGGTTGACTGCTGTGCCAGGCTAGGTGGAGGAGGAGACCACGGGACAGACCCAGGAGCCATGGGTTGACCGCTGTGCCAGGCTAGGTGCAGGAGGAGGTAACGGGACAGACCCAGGGTGCCATGGGTTGACTGCTGTGCCAGGCTAGGTGCAGGAGGATGCCACGGGGTAGACCCAGGAGCCATGGGTTGACTGCTGTGCCAGGCTAGGTGCAGGAGGAGACCACGGGACAGACCCAGGAGCCATGGGTTGACTGCTGTGCCAGGCTAGGTGCAGGAGGAGACCACGGGACAGACCCAGGAGCCATGGGTTGATTGCTGTGCCAGCTAGGTGCAGGAGGTCATGGGGCAGACCCAGCAGGTGCGTTGACTGACGACTGGCAGGATGAACCAGCTGCTCCCCCTGCACACAAACGGAGAGACTCGCAAAGTCCCTCGTGCGAAGGCAGGCTACCACGACCCGCTCACGCCAAACGACTCCCCCACCCCCCTCCACTCCACCCCAGGTCCCATCGTGAAAACCCCGCGGCGAATCTTCACCAACAGCCGCGAGCGATGGCGTCAGCAGAACGTGAACGGCGCGTTCGCCGACCTGCGCAAGCTCATCCCGACTCACCCGCCCGACAAGAAGCTGAGCAAGAACGAGATCCTGAGACTCGCCATGCGCTACATCACATTCCTCGACCGCCTCCTGCGCGACCAGACCGCGGGCCAAACCGGGCCCTCCATCGCGCACGGGTCCGGGAACGGCCTGATGACGATGGGTGGCGGCGGAGGGATCAACCAGATCACCTCCACCACCTCCTCCTCGCCACCGCCGCCGCCGCTGCAGCCGGGATCGAACCGGGACGTGCGCGGCTCGATGGTGGATGACGCGGCGGCTGCGGCTGCGGGGAGGGACGACGAAGCGTCGGAGGACGTGGCGTCGCCCTGGTCGAGCTGCGGCAGCTGCTGCGACGGTGGGACGGGGTCGCCGGGGAGTTTGTGCGACGAGAGGAGTCAGCATCAACACCAGCGGTGACCTTCTCCTCCGCCACCACCAGCACCATCGTCATCGTCATCATCAGCAGCGTCGTCAGCCGTGATATATCCACTGCTGGATGAAGGACTCACAATTGACTACACCAACACGCACGGTTGCGCGGTGCGCCTTTGGTTGTATCCGCAAATTTATGAACGGATGAATGAATACTGCAACAATAACAACAACAACAACAGCAATTGCCGTCAATTGGCGGTGACGTCACCGCGGCGCTTGTGCCAGGCTAGGTTTACATTGGCCATAAAGAAGTAAATACAATGGTACACATAAAAAAAATACGCAGACACGTGGCTTTAACAGAGCTACGGCGAGGGGAAGCTAGTTTCGGGCCTTTGAATGACCCATGCATACAGGGGATTTCATGGAAGGATAGGGTACGCAAATACAGAGCAGAATGTGGAGGAGGATAGGGTAAACGACTTGGAGGTTGGGAATAGAACGAGCAGGAAAGGATAGCTGTGGACCAGGGTGCTACAGTGGCGAGATGTTAACTCTCTCGCTTGGTATGCAGGAGGTCGTGGGTTCGATCCCGACCCTGGCGCCTGCTGCTGTATATTTGGAGTTTGCGTCTTCTCACCGTGGCTGCGTGGATTTTTGTCCGGGTCCACCAGTTTTTTCCCATCCTCATTTATAAACACGCCTTTCGAGTATTTGGCTGCTGCTATACATTTCCACGTGATAAGCCACGTCGTTGATCTATCACGTGTGGCCGGGTCACTTCCGAAAAATATCTGCATAGCTCAGTGGGCATTATCTGGTAACATGAACAAATGGTTTAGTTTAGATGCTCGGAAGAGGAGGTGGTGGTGGTGGGTGGGACACCTGTGCAGGGTGGAGGAGGAGGGCCTGCTCACTGAGACCACGCGTTAGAGTGGCACCCAGAGGCTGCAAGTCGGAAGACCCAACCCTAGACGGTGGCGACGATGATCAAGGCTGTAGGAGTGGTCCTTGGAGGTTTGGGGTATTGACTTTGACAACTCCTACGTGAGCTAGCAGAAGGGAGGAAGCTCTGGCGAGAGGTACGGAGAGCATCCACTGCATTGGCAACTTGGAACAGGTCCGATGTACGTATCCACAAAAGCCTCCCGGAGTCTCAAGATGAGGGTCCTGCCTGGGCACATTTGTGACGATTTCCCTTTTGTTTGCGTGCTCGGAGAAGTTTCACCGCGCACAGCAAGGGGATGCCACTCAAAGGTCCGCACGTAACGGGTTCATGAGCCCACTTGCTGTACTGCACTTCCGCCTTTTGGCCACCTCGCATCTCATCCGGGTGGGAGTCTAACATGCATCTCGAGGTCATCTACTGGCCCCTTGCTTCCAAAGCGCTGCGTCACAGGCGTGTGTGCGTCTCATCCTCTCAGCACAACCTACTTGCCACAGTAACGTGGAATTTCCTCCACTCGCTTTGAGGACACGTAATGAAATGAGCGCGACTCCAGGCTCAGCTGAGCACAAGAAACACTTTTTTGACTTTGCGATCACAGTGTTTTCCCCATATGGACAGACCGGTCCTTGCCATGATAATGTGGAATTTTCACTTTTAGCGAGCAAACCCGCAGCGGTGTATTTTGTAATAAATGTGTCAATATAATGAGTGTTGTTTTGGCTAATAACGGATATTGTATTATATGCTGTGTATATATATACAGTACTGTATTGTCATTTATACAGTACCTGTATACATTTTTGCATGTGTGTGCGTGTATGTATGTATGTGTGGGAATGTGTATTTGTTTGTAAGCTTCTAACGTGTTAATCCGCGGCCAATTGCATACATTCTCAATTCGATTGCAGGATTCATTATTTATTGATCTCGTTTTGCGCGTTTCGTTTGTGTTGTTTTCCGTAAATTCGATTCCCATTTTAATCTCACGACAACATTTTGATCGCCCCCATCTACCTATACGCACGTAACGTTTGACAAATGTTTTGATGATTGTTGAACCATGACCAAACAACCACGCTGGTCCGTTCACGTTGGAATAAGGTTTGCTGGGGCGACTCAGGACCGGCTACAGATGATCGACCACTCGCCACTGACGTGATGATGTTGAAGGGCTGCAGTTGCGGCTCTTGAAATTCGAAACAAAGGCTCTTATTGTGATTTTGGTTGCCGAACCCTCACCCCTGACCATGGAAGTCCAGTTTACCATGGGAGTCCAGTTCACCATGGAAGTCCAGTTCACCATGGAAGTTCAGTTCACCATGGAAGTTCAGTTTACCATGGGAGTCCAGTTCACCATGGAGGTCCAGTTCACCATGGAAGTTCAGTTCACCATGGAGGTCCAGTTCATCATGGGAGTCCAGTTCACCATGGGAGTCCAGTTCACCATGGAGGTCCAGTTCACCATGGAAGTCCAGTTTACCATGGGAGTCCAGTTCACCATGGAGGTCCAGTTCACCATGGGAGTCCAGTTCATAATGGGAGTCCAGTTCACCATGGAGGTCCAGTTCACCATGGGAGTCCAGTTCACCATGGAAGTCCAGTTCACCATGGAAGTCCAGTTTACCATGGGAGTCCAGTTCACCATGGAGGTCCAGTTCACCATGGAGGTCCAGTTCACCATGGGAGTCCAGTTCACCATGGAAGTCCAGTTTACCATGGGAGTCCAGTTCATCATGGGAGTCCAGCCGTCTCATCGCTCATTCGCAGTTCACCATGGGAGTCCAGTTCACCATGGGAGTCCAGTTCACCATGAGAGTCTGGTTCACCGTAGGCCAATTACAATCATAATCACAACCGAGCACTTGGGCTCGAGCAGCCGTCTCATCGCTCATTCGCACAAATCCTCAATGGTTACACGTTCGCAACGGCCGCTCCGGGAGCATTTTAATCCCAAGCCGTCCTCCGCGCGAACGACATTTTTCAATCGGGATGATTACAACAACAACAGCAGCAACAACAACATGTTTTTTTGCTCGACGATGATTGAAATCGATGGGAGGGGGAAGTCGGCGTGGCTCTGCGAACGAACACGTGTTCGGTGGCGCACGCGATCAAAGGAAAAGGAGTCATCAATCATTGACGGGCTCGCGTGCTCCAAGCCTGGGCCGCCCACGAATCAGCTGTCCCCGTGTTTACCCAATACCCTCCATTGCAGGGATGTAAATGCACGGTGCAACTCACTGCGCGCACCTGCTGATTGGTAAACAACGAAAAGCCGCGCGTGTCGATTATATATATGCATAATTAAATAATCGGTGTTTAATAATACATCGGATTTTTTGCTGGATGATGGTCTAACTCTGAACGAAGCCGTGTCGGCCGTGTGCATTGTTTGACCATACTTCACCGCGCTGGTCACGTGCGGTTGGGTGCTACGTATGTGTGTATGTTGAACCTCTTTCGCACCGTACGCGACCACACAATTCTCTTGCGGCGGAGTGCGGACAAGCGGTGAATTGAAGGGATCTCAAGACTAGTTCTACGACATCTCCTTCCACGGGCCGCCGTCTGAACGAGAACGCCGTCACAACCCGCTACGGCGTGCATGGACACACAGGGGCAGCTGGCAACTGACGCAGGCAACTTGTAACAACCCCGCGTGGAAATGACTTCCAATGCTGGTCATACCCGTGCCACTGTATCGTGACATCATCACGTGCGTTCGCAGTGTACGTTGCAATGCCTGTACTCGTCATTTTGCACGGTTCCATAAATATATCGTTTGCCATACGAAGCAGTTTTGACTCGTACTGCGCGCGCACGTGTGTGTGTGTGTGACGTGTGTGACGTATACACCGATTATAATGGACATATTCTTAGGTTTTTTCGGTAAAGTCATTAATTTTGATGTTTTACCTACGTGACTTTACCAGAAAAAAACCTAAGAATATGAATCCTTGCAGTCACAAAAGCTTCAAATCTATAATATAATGGACATCCCTTTCTCAATCCACTGCCGGATGAACCCGGCCACCCGAGTTCGAATCACGGTGGCGGCGAGCAACTTCAGTGGTGGTGTCCAAACACCACAAGCGGTGGTCCCTTCCCCAAACTTCACCACGACTGCCGTGGTGAAGTATGGTTAAACACACTCAGCACCCCCCCTCCCTCCCACTGGATTGACAAGGGCGCTGTAAATTGTTACTGTTCATTATTAAACCATTGAGTGTGTGGTGTGTGTGGTGTAGTGTGTGATGTGTGTGGTGTGTAGTGGATATGGTGAGTGGTGTAGTGTGTGTGTGGTGTAGTGTGTGTGTGATGTGGTGTAGTGTGTGTGGTGTAGTGTGTGTATGGTGTGTAGTGTATGTGGTGTGTGTAGTGTGTGGTGTGTGTGGTGTGTGTGTAGTGTGTGGTATGTGTGTGGTGTGTGTGTAGTGTGTGGTATGTGTGTGTGGTGTGTGTAGTGTGTGTGTAGTGTGTGTGGTGTGTAGTGTGTGTGTAGTGTAGTGTGTGGTATGTGTGTGTGGTGTGTGTGGTGTGTGTAGTGTGTGTCGTGTGTAGTGTATGTGGTGTGTGGTGTGTGTGGTGTGTGTGGTGTGTGTGTGGTGTAGTGTGTGTAGTGTGTGGTGTAGTGTGTGTATGGTGTGTAGTGTGTGTGGTGTGTGTAGTGTGTAGTGTGGTGTGTGTGTGGTGTGTGTGGTGTGTGTAGTGTGTGTGGTGTGTGTGGTGTGTGGTGTGTGTAGTGTGGTGTGTGTGTGGTGTGGTGTGTGTATGGTGTGTGTGGTGTGGTGTGTGTATGGTGTGTAGTGTGTGTGGTGTGTGTGTGTGGTGTGTACAAGACGTGAGTTCATATTGTTTTGTGATGGGTCTGTCTATGTTGTGAAAGATTACGCAGTGGATACACAAGGAAACACACAACTACACACACACACAAAGATCCCCACAGCCTAATACGTTAGATTCAAATGACACCAAAGACAAAGATCCACTGTATAGCCTTAACAGACTGTTGGGGCAAGTGTTGTTCGCGAGGAGCACCTATGAAGGCCGGCACGGCACACGAGGGGGGTGGGTGGCCAGCACCACGCCCGGCCGCCTTCG